TAGGACCAGACCTTCCCAAGCAAAAAACAACACACACACACTGACTCTTAAATTCTCAGACCCTGGGTCATCAGAAATAAGAGGTGGAACAGAAAGGCTGCTGTGTAGAGCGGGTGGGGAGCCACATCAATCTAAGCACGGCTGGCAGGCTGCCTGTTGCCCACTCAAGGTTGCCAGTGACCAAGGTGCTGCTGTCCTGGCTTTCAGCATCTACAAGGGCACTTGGGGGAGGGCCCTGGCTCCCACCCTACCTCTGAGGGAGAGGAAAGTGCTAGAAAGGCTGCTGTTTCTGTGGCTAGTTTCAGAACCATAGCAAGATGTTGCCATGGAAAAGCTGCATAGACCTGGCCCAGGCACTGCAGGCTTCCTACACGCAAGCTCTGTGCAAGTCCACACTTGTACAGCTTGGCAGGCTTCCTTGGCTTGCTGGTCTAGGATTTCCTTGGGTTAACTTGTAAAAAAAAAAAAAAAATCTGCATGAGGGCTGGAGAGATGGCTGCTCTTGCAGAGGACCTAACCAGTTCTCAATACCCACATGGCCAGTAACACTCATCTATAACTCCAGTTCCAGGAGATCTGACATCCTTTTTTTGGTTCTGTGAGCACTGCACACATGGGTGCACTTACATGCACATAGGCAAAACACTTATACACTTAAAAATAATTAGGGGCTGGACAGATGGCTCAGCAGTTAAGAACACTGACTACTCTTGCAGAGGACCTGGGTTCAATTCCCAGCCCCAACATGGCAGCTACGAACTGTCCTTATCTCTAGTTCCACGGGAATCCAACAGCCTCTTCTAACCTCTGCGGCACTGCACAACATGGGTGCACTCACCATACATGCAAGCAATACACTTATACACATCAAATAAAAATAATTTTTAAAAATTAAAAAAAATTAATTAAAAAAATGATCAGGAAGACCCACTCTTCCTTTCCCTTTACTCTTGAGAGAGAGAGTGTGTGTGTGTGAGTGCAGATGGATGTGTGTCAGTGTCCTTGCCTTCACCTTGTTTGAGACAGGGACTCTTGCTTACCACTGTGAACAGGCTGGCTGGCCCAAGAGCTTCCAGGGAGTCTCCTGTTCCACCTCCCATCTTGATACAGAAGTGCTGGGATTACACACGTGCTACTGTACCTGGCTTTATGTGGGATCTGGGAATTCACTCAGGTCCTCCCACTTGTACAAGCATTTTGTCCACTGAGCATCTCCCTATCCTCATGATCCACTTTTCTTATGAAACACAATGTAAGGTCCCCTCCCTCAATAATAAAGCGTTTTTTATTGTTGCTCCCTCTCTTTTCTGACAAGAATTATCCCAACTAAAAAGTTCTTAAAAAAAAAAAAACGAACTCTATTTATATTGTGTGTGTGTGCATAGGTGAGGTATGTGAGTACACACCAAGGTGTGTATGTAGAGATCAGAGGACAACTTTGTGGAGTGGGCTCTCTCCTTCCACCTTTATTTATGTGGGTTTCAGGGTTTGAACTCAGGACATCAAGACCCCCCTTTTTAGACAGTCTTTGTAACTCAGGCCTCTGCCTTGCAAGTATTGGGATGCACCATCATAACTGGCAGACACATTCATTTAAAAAGATTCTCCCAGTTAGCTGAATGTGTAGTATTGTCACCAGACACAGGCAGTATTAGGAGCCTTTTCAAGTTCAAGTTTCCAGCTTGATAGAAACAGACAAGATGCTGAAGACCAAATGATTCCTGTTAGCAGAGACCAACTATTTGGAGGAGAGGATAACGCCCAGCCAGCAGAAACAGGAACCAAATTTCAGGTATTTGATTTCCTGTCCTTGACAAAATTATCCTGTACTGATTTACTCTATGAATTATTGCTGGGGCCGGGGGGGGGGGCAGATTGCAGGGAAGTCATGAAGCTTGTCATGAGATTAAAATAAACAAAACCACTAAGCTATTCATAAAGATTGAACTGTTTTAAACTTCACTGGTTTCCCAGGTCAGGAGTGGGTGGTTTGGCCTGGCCCCAGAGTACAATTATTACAGCTTTGTGCCCTCAAAGGTCAAGGCAAATGCCTACGGGAGCTGCATACACAGGAGTGACAGGATCCCTACACCTCTGTAGTAGCACAGCTAACTTTTGAAATGCACACTCGAGACCCACACTCATTAGGTCAACAGATTCCCACTAACGTGCCCAAGCAATTTAACAGGAAAGGACTCTGTAGACTGTAACGATGGGCCATCTGTTACATAATGAAACCTTGACTCCAGCGTCACATAATGCACTAAAAAGTTACTTCAAGAGGAACTTAAATATACTTATTTGCTATAGCCATCAAGCTTCGAGAAGAAAATACCAAAGAATAGTTTTATCACTTGCAGGTTTCTTAGGACACAGGAAAGAAAAATAAAATAGACTTTCTCAAAATTAAGAGGGCTGGGGAGGTGGCTTAGTGGGTAAAGTACTTGCTGCACAAGCATGAGGACCTGAGTGGACCCCACACCCATGTAGAAGTTGGGAGTGTGGCATGCATCTGTAACCCCCATTCTAGGGGGCAGACAGGCAGATCGTGCCTGGCCAGCCAGTCTAGGTGAAATGGTGAGTTCCTGGTTCAGCAAGATACACTGTCTCAAAACTAAGGTGGAAAATGATAGAGGAAAATACTGGAAGACAACCTCTGGCCTCCACAGCCACATACAGATGAGTGTACCACACATACATACATATGAACCATACACATATACCACACACACACACACACACAAGCTAGAGTATGCAAGAAGCCCCCAAACTGCACCTCCCTCTTTATGCTACTGGACCTTGGCACAAGGAAGCCAGAAGCCTACCCTGAGGTGTAAAGAAAACTGGGTGTTTAGTGCAGAAGGGGATGGATCCACCTAGGTGCTGGTTTTGAGTGGTTGAATGCAGTTGGGAAACAGCAGGCGGGTATGAGGGGTGGGTCAATTCTGAGCCAAATCCCGGTAACTATGCCTATGTCAGCCTAGCGACAGTAGATTCAATAAGGGTTTCAGATCAATAGTACAACCTCCTGATATCACTGTGTACTTGTGCATGATGGGTATTCTACATAGCTTCATTTAGTGCTCACAACGACTCTGTGAGGTGGGTTACTGTCCTGATTTTATGAAACAGAAGGCTGAGCTCAGAGATGGCAGTATCTGCAAACACACAGCTGGAACTGGAACACAAACACAGCTGCATGTGGCTCCTGAGTCCATGTTCTTTCTAGAAATCATATTTCACCTCCACCAAACTCCTCTCTAGACCAAAAATGGCAGGGTGCAAACAGTGTGTGGGGGCAAAGGTTTCTGAGCAGGGAGTGATATGTATATTCCTGAATTGGTTTGAGGGTACAATGCAGACTTTCATTAACTTTGGGCAAAGAAGCTCCTATCTCCCTTTCATATAAGAGTCACACTTATACAGAATAAGGGGGTTGTCACCACCACATAGAGCATGCTCAATGGGCTATGTGTACTTTCCAACACATGCCAACTCAGAGTGTCCAGTTACCCATTTCTTTTTTGTTGTATTAAGGTGTGTGTCCATTCACGTGCATGTCCTGGTGCACACAGAGGCCACAAGGGGACACTGGATCCCTGAAGCTGGAGTTACAAGCATGTGTGAGCTGGAAACCAAACTCTGGTCCTCTGACAGAGTAGTAAGCACTGTCAATGAGCACTATCTCCAGCCCCATAATGTATTTATCTTAGTCTTTGCAGTATGGAGGACTGAACCTAGGGCCTCAAGCATTCTAGGCAAGCTCTCTAGGCAATTGAACTACATCCCTAGCCTCCCTTTTCCTTTTTAAAAATTAGTGTCGGGGCTGGAGAGATGGCTCAACCCTTATGAACACTGGCTGCTCTTCCAGAGGGCCCAGGTTTGATTCCCAGCACCCATATGGCAGCTAACAACTGTTTGTAACTCCAGTTCCAGGGGCTCCAACGCCCTCTTCTGACCTCTGCAGGCACTGCATGACATGAGTACACTTACATACATGCAGGCAAAACACTCATACACATAATAAAAATAATTTTAAAAAAATTAGTGTCAGAATGGGGAGGTAACTTGCTTGCCTAGCACAAGCACTGGATGCTCTGAGTTGGCATGTGTTTGGAAGTGCACACAGCCCAATGAGCATGCTCTATGTGGTAGTCACAACCCCCTTGTTCTGTGTAAGTTTGAATGTGACATGGAAGGGAGACAGGAGATTCTTTGCCCAAAAGTAATGAAAGTCTACATTGTGCTCCCACACTAACTCAGGTTGTTGCCCTGAGTTCCATCTCCAGCACTCAAAAGAAAAAGAAAGCAGTTATCAGGCCCTCCCTGTTCTCCAAGCTGTAGGTCTGAAAGACTTAACTGAACCCAGCAGCCTAGTTCTGTCCTCTCCTTGTTCCCACTTCTGCTCAGCTTTCCACTGCACTGAGGACAACTCCAGCTTCAGAGAGGCTGGGTGCTCCTTTCTACCAGGTCTATGGTCACGGGACCTGGGTAGGGAGAGGTTTAGGAAGTTCACTACTGGGGAAAGATCTACCTGTGAGGCTGTGCGATGCCACAATGGGAGCTTGAGGGCCCCGGTTCCTAAGTGGCCAGAGACTAACAGAGCTCAGTCCCAACTCTGGGTGTCTGACCCCAGGTACAGAGGGCAGATACAGAGGTGAGACAGACAGACAGACAGACAAACTGGCCTTAGTGGTGCAGGCCTATGATCCCAGTTATTCAAGAGGATAAGGCAGGAGGAAGTTCAAAGTCTTCCTGGACTACAGAGTGAGTTCAAGGCTAGCCTGGACAACTTAGTGAGGACCCCCCCCCCCAAAGAAGGGCTGATGATGTCGCTCAGTGTTGCCTAGCTTGTGCAATGCCTTGGGTTTAATTCTCAGTACAGCACAACAAAACATATCTTCAAATAACAAGCAGAGAGACTAGCAGATCTGTCCAGAAATAAGAAACAGCTACAGGGCAAATGCGTTACTCTAAAGATAAAAAGGAACTAGCCAGGGTTCTATGAAAATTTCTTTAATTCCAACTTTTGGAAATACATTTTTCATTTTTATTTTCACAATACAAAACATTACATATCCAGAAGCGTGTGATGCTTTGTCACTGTTGGATCTGTCTCAGAAGGGTTTCATGCATGTTGTAAGTCTGCCATGATTTTATATACATACATTCTCATACACACGCACATGCCATGTGTCCAGACACACAGAAAAGACAAGCAGGCTAAGCCACTGCACTGTGAATGCAGCACTATATGTAGAAATAGACAAACCAGCTTTTCACTCAGACACCATTGAGAGACTGGATACTGAGGGAAAATCACCTGAAATAAATGTGCTCCCTAGGCCTAGGCGTCCACTGAAGTCACTGTGGGTCAGCCTCCTGTCACAAGACAAGACGAACCCAAGTGCTGGGTGTCTGACCCCAGGTACAGAGGGCAGATACAGAGGTAAGGTTTCCAGGTGGCAATGTGAGAAGCAGGAGGCACAACTGCTTGCCCATCAGGAGACAGTGACCATGCCCTGTGATGGCACCACAGGCTGAGTGGAGGAATGGCACCTCTATAGGTAGAAAGGAGCTCAGCCCAAATCTGACCAGAGGACCCCGGAGGTTGGCTCCCCTGGCATGGTTCACAGCTGATTTCCTCCCAGGGCGGACTGCCAATACTCATCAGGTATCCCAGGAGCAACAGGTGATTAATTTGTTAATGATGTACACATCCACCAAGGCCACAATTGTGATGTGTGTTAATGGTTAGTTCAGATTAAAAGGGAAAATAGAGAAACAGTCACAAAAATAAAAAGAAGTCTTCTCAGGAGATGTACCTGGCTTCAAACCCCTCCCATTCCACATCTAATTAAGTTAAATACAGTATGGCTTCCAAACTCTCAGGCTGGGCTGGCTCTCTGAAGTCGCATCTGTGGCATGCTCCACTCCGGTCTCGGTTACCATGTGTCAGGGACTTCAAAGAGTGTGGCAGGGCTGTCTGCACCGCTTCCTGGAGGGAAAGAAGCAGACGAAGAACATGGGCAGTCACTGGGAAGAGCACCTTGTGGCCGGCACTGACAGTAGCCTGAACGCAGTTTCAGATGAGACTGCTGTACAGATGGCTCCTAATGGAGCAGATGAAGGTGAAGCCACGGGGAAGGTGGTACCTCCTGACCCACCTTTGCCACCTGTTTGCTTATTGGTAGTTTAGATGTGGGTGCTTCAGGTACCTCTATTGCTGTGCATCATCATAAAAGCCCATCAGGGGCCACCAATGTCTCCCAGACAGAGGCATAAGAACAGACTTAGAGAAGCTAGTAAGATCAAGTACCTAGCTTCTTGCTGAATGGGAACCTGAGTTTCCATGAGAGAGAGAGCAGTTAGTACCTGCAGGAGAAAGTTCAGGTGCCGCGACAGGGTGTTGGCAGGCCAGCGGGGGCCACAGGCCAGAAGGAGCCGCAGGCCCTGGGCAGCAGAAGTAGGGGTGGCTCTTTCCAGTTTCAGTGACACTGGCCGAGTCCTCTGGGTCTGAAGAGATCCCTTCACTTACAAATAGTTTTCCTGTAAGTCTGAAACTCTTTCTACTCATGTCATTTGTGAAATTGTGGCAGGGGTGACGGTAACACAGCTGGGTTGGTACCTGAACCACAGTGTCTAGACTAGTGGGAGCAGGGATAAGGCAGGGAAGAGCCAGCTCATAACTCACAGCCCATCACTGAGGCCCTTAGTCAGTGGACAGGGAGAACAGGCAAAGCCTCTCTGAGCTAATGCTCTGAGATAGATTAAAAACTCCAGCTGGCAACAGCCTAAAAGTGTGTAAGTTGGGCAATGAGTAAGCAGCAATAGAGCCTCAAAATGGAGTACTACTCAGCAATAAACAAATAGTGCATGCAACAGGAGCCTGTAATGCATCATGCTAAATGAAAGAAGCTGAATGAAGGAACCGACCAGCTTCCGGTTGTGGAGTCCATTTATAATACATTCTGGGAAAGGCAAAATCGCAGAGACAGACAACAAATCAGTGGTTGTTGGGATCAAGGGTCTGAAGAAGGGACTGACTATAAAAGGAAATGAAGGAATTTTCTGGAATGATAACTTTTCTATCATGTTCACTATAGTTGTTATATGACTGCACACATCTGTGCAAACTCATCAAATTTACATCTAAAATTGATGAGTTTTATTGGACACAAATGATCTTGATAAAGCTGATTCCAAAAATGTCTGAGAGATTGCTCAGTGGTTATAAGCGCTTGCTGCTCTTGCAGAGGACCTGAATTTGGTTCCTAGTACCAAATTCAGTCAGCTCACAAGTGCTTGTAACTCCAGTTCAGGGCATCTGACACCCTCTTCTGGTTTACCACATACAGGAGGCATAAACATACACAGACACATACCCATAAATAAAAATAAATCTTTAAAAGAGTCTTCAAAAATAAAGCTGATTATACAAAAGATTTATTCCTTAAATTTTTTTTGTGTGTATGACTGTTTTGCCTGCATGTATGTAAGTGGACCACGTGCATGAAATGAAGGCAGAAGAGAGTATCGGGTCCTCTGGAACTGGAGTTATGAAGTGTTGGTAGCCGCCATGCAGGTGCTGAACCCAGATACTCTGCAAGAGCAGTCAATACTCTCAACTGCTGAGGCACCTTTCCAGTCCCATGTAAAAGATTTTAGGAATGATGTTCTAAAAAATGCAGGATGGCTCAGCGGTTAAGAGCACTGACTGCTCTTACAGAGGACCTGGGTTCGATTCCCAGCACCTACATGGTGGCTATGAACCATCCTTAACTCCAGTTCCAGGGGTCTCCGAAGACTTCTTCTGACCTCTGTGGCATTGTACGACACAGGTGCATTCACATACATGCAGGCAATATACCCAGACACATAAAATAAAAATAATAAATAAAATAATTTTTAAAAATGCAGTCCTGTATGAGTTTATGCATATGTGGGTATGTCATCCCAGTTACTCAGGAGGCTGGGGCAGGAGGATCCCATGAGCCCAAGTTAGAGGCCTGCCTAGGCAACAGTGAAACCTTGTTTCAAAAGGTTTTTTTTTTTTTTTTTTTTTTTTTTTTTACTATGAAATATGCTGATAATCAAGATTATTTTATTTAGGGCTGGAGAGATGGCTTAGTGGTTCAGAGTACTGGTTGCTCTTACAGAGGCTCTGGGTTCAGTTCCCAGCACCCACATTGTAACTCCAGTTCCAGGGGATCCAACGACCTCTTCTGGCTTCCATGGGCACTGCATGACACAGGTGCATTTACATACATGAAAGCAAAACACTCATACACATAAACCAGAGCAACACGACAAGTGGAATACAATACGTGTTAACAACGCATCCATACACAAGTGTTCATTAGGATGCCCTCAGTGGGGCAGATGGGGTGAGTTTCCCACACCAGGAAGGCAGGCTGAAAATGGTTAGCTCCCAGGAGTTGCCAGGGGAACAGGTTTGACACAGATAAGCACTTAGCATCTGCCTCCAGCGCCACAGCAAAACTGAAAGCCACATTTTAATGTCACTAAGAGGCTCCCTGGAGGTCGCTGGACACCTAGCCTTGTCTCTCAGGTGACAGTCGGTCACAACTATAGATCTCATGTTTTATTTTAGTGAACCATAGTTAAGACTAACAAAGCTCACGGTTTGTCATCAGCACATGAAGGTCCAAAGTGCTGTGTTTATAAAGGGCAAGAGGAAAGCCTTGCTCAGTGTCTCTTTCTGCAGGGCAAAAAATGACCACAAGCAGTCTGTCTCTTCCTTCGGTCAACTAGGGGGGCTCTCCAGCTTAGGGGGCTGCTAGAAGTTCTAGCTAGGGGGCCACCCAATAGTATTTTAAGAATGGTTAGGTACCTATGGTGGCCTTGAGACTTCCTGAAGGTGAGGCTGGGGTCTCTCTGGGCCCCTCCAACATCATTCAGCAAGAACACATGTATTATGAAATCAATCAGTTCAGCCTGGGGAAAATGACATTTCCTGAAGATGGTTGATCCCAGCATAAATGGCAAGCCACAGTCTTCCTTTATGTATCCAGGAGAATGTGCCTTAAACTGTCCAGATGGAAAGTAGCTAGGCTACCAACTACCACTGATGACTACATGAATAAAAGGAAACTCAAGGGGCTGGAGAGATGGTTAGATAGTTAAGAGCAGCTGCTCTTGCACAGGATCCAGATTCAGTTCCCAGCACCGACATCAAGTCCCAGGGGATCTGATGCCATCATCTGGCCTCCGAGGGCACTGTACACATGTGGTACACATACATAAATATAATTAGCACACACACAAAACAAATCTTTAAAAAGGAGACTTGTTCAGTTATTTACACATTTCCTCTTTGCCCATCCACCTTCCCTTTCTCCCTCCCTCCCTCTAGTGAGACAGGTTCTCATGTAGCCCTGGCTGGCATCTTGCCCAGCTACACTTGCTTCTTGAAAACAAGATAGAAACAACCACACTTGTTGAGCCCATGAGCACACAGTACATGGATGGGTAAACAGAAGCCCCCATGGGGATAAATCATTTGTGTTAATGAATGACTTTGTCACATAGCTTGTTTTGATCTAGAACAGCTGCAAGAAATACCCATCTTTGTAAGGAACCTCCAAGTCCTGTGAAGTTTGGACAAATCCCCCCACCCCGCCCCGGACTACCAAGCAGGGAAGCACAGGATCTCAGAGTCAGCCTTCCCCCGACACCAGGGAAGCACAGGATCCCTGGAGTCAGCCTCCCCTAATACCAGAGAAATACAAGATCTTTAGAGTCAGCCTTCTCCCCACACCAGGGGAGCACAGGATCCCTGGAGTCAGCCTCCCCCGACACCAGGGGAGCACAGGATCCCTGGAGTCAGCCTTCTCCCCACACCAGGGGAGCACAGGATCCCTGGAGTCAGCCTCCCCCCCCGCCTCCGGCACCAGTTCTGGCTCTCATTTCCCAAGTTTGAACTACAAAACCCGTTTCCTTTCTATCCCTGGGAAATAACAGCCTCTGTGCTCAGCCTTCTCCCCACACCAGGGGAGCACAGGATCCCTGGAGTCAGCCTCCCCTAATACCAGAGAAATACAAGATCTTTAGAGTCAGCCTTCTCCCCACACCAGGGAAGCACAGGATCCCTGGAGTCAGCCTCCCCCCCCGCCTCCGGCACCAGTTCTGGCTCTCATTTCCCAAGTTTGAACTACAAAACCCGTTTCCTTTCTATCCCTGGGAAATAACAGCCTCTGTGCCTGACTGTACAAGGACTACCAAGATGATAAAGGAAGTTCCTAAGGACTAGGGTACAGCTCAGTGGCAGTTGTTTCCTGGGACATCAGGGCACGTTAGAAACCCTGGTCGTTTCTCCTGCTATCTAGGTATTTTTGTTACACAGTGAAGGGACCTGGTATTTAACTTCTAGTGTATCTTAGCTGTTAAAATGTCTTGGTTAGCATGTGACACCATTCTGTATGGCATCTGTCAAGCATCACTTATCTGGGGTTGAAACAGTACATATATCCCTCAGTCCTTGCTTTTGCAAATCTCCCAGGCTGGACTCTGCCTGTTAGGTCTCTCACACAGTGGCAAGTGACCCGTTGTGAACCACCTGAGGACCTGTCAGGAAACCAGGTGTCAAAACTCACTGCCCAGGCCTCAGGGCCTCTCTCAAGTAGACAGCTAACACTGAACAGCTCTGCTGCCAGCAGTACCAGAACTCCACTCAGTACCTTTCAAACCCTCTGAGGGGTCAGTAGACTCTGAAGGTTTGCACTTTGTACTTCCCCTCAGGACAGGGCCTTACTCAAGGAACAGAGCAAGCAAAACTGGTTGACTCAGTAAGTTCAGCCTCTGATTATCCTGACCTACACCCCCAGACACTAACAGGATTGAGTGGTTAGAACAAAGCAGGAGCTAGTAAGGTTCCCCCTTGCAGTCAGAAGACGTCAGTGAGTGAACAGGCGACAGAAGAAAACCCAAGTCTTCCAAGTTCCCTGATTCAATTAAAAGTGTCAAGATGTCTTTATTTCTCTCTCTTGTTTTTGCAGCACTGTCAAGTACAAAAACCGACAGTTTCTTTTTTTTTTTTTTTTTAGTTCATGTCTTTTGGCAGTGACAGCTTTACTGTCAATGGGAGGGGGAAAAAGGCCCATTTTATTACAGTAGTCTAAATTTAAAACCTTAAATAACTTATAGAAAGTTTTCACTTAAAATGATAAAAACTATAAAAGAAACAATTGATGTAGTCTATAATTATTTATTTTAATTTTTTTTTGAGACAGTCTCTGTAGCTTATTGAACTCATGGTGATCCTTAAGCCTTACTTAGCTTTCCTAATGCTGGGATTCTAGATGCTTATTACCAATCCTGGCCTTTTAATTTTAATATTTTTAAGATTGTGCTGATCTGGAAGAAGAAAAACTAAAAAGCTTGTACTGAGATAAGCTAGCAGGGCTGCAGCAGGGGACACTCGTCCAGCATGATCTGAACGCCCTGCTTACAGTTACCACTGCACTTGAGCATGTCCAATACAACAGCGGAAAAGAAGGTCCCACTGGAGGAGACGGTTATTTCTCCCAAACTTCATCTGGGAAAAGGAGGGAAGGCACAAGGCAACAGCCAGCCCCACAGGAACAGCTGCAGCTGTTTAACTTTCTATTAAAATGAAGTTGTAGCACAGTTTATACAAAGCATAGGCAACATTTCTGCTGCCTGTGTGATTTCCTTAATATCAACGAAATGCAGAAAACTCCATGCAGATCAGACCACCTGCAAAAGGGAATCACAGAAACAAAGACAAATCCTAGCCTGGGTATAAGTCAAGTCCTGTTGCCTAAGTACTGCCTTCCTTTGGTCTGACTCCTTCTGCTAACCAACTGTTCCCAAGTGATACCAAAAAGACTAATAATTGTGTCTAGGCCAGTGTCTCCTTCATCCCGAGTGCACAACAGACAGTAGGTGGCTTCCTTTAAGGACAGACCTAAGGGCTCTGGGGCCTTGAACAGGTCACCAATGCTCTGGGTCTATGTTTTCTTAATCATAAAGTAGGCTATGATGGATTTCAATGACAGAACTGCCAAGCATTTGGGCCTGTTCTAGATGCATACCAAGCACTTGGTAAGCAGTGGTTACAGTTACTGTCATTGTGCCTGCTGCCTGATGTTACACAGGAGCAGGTGGTGGCCCTTCAGAAATTGGTGACAAGAGGCCACTGGGGTCCTTGTCCTGTTTAGGGTCCAAGTGCCCAGGCTATACCAGGCATGTATGGTGATAGAGAGGACACGGGTTGGCTCAGGCAAGCCTAAGTTTTCCTGGCTTTGCTTCTCACTGGTGCACACACCTGACACTTCCCTAAGCTCTCAGAGCTTGGTACCTGTTACTGATACAAGGGTGATGGTTTTTTTTTTTATCTTGGGGCTGTTGTAAATATCCAAAGCTTGAGGGAAATAAGGTTCCTACTCTGGAGTCTGTCATGTACTAGGCTCTAAACTTGTTAAATGCCTATTTCCTTGGCTTCTTATATATTTCTGTTCATGAAGAAAATCAGGTTGCCCAGGGTGTTGCTAGGAACAGTGTAAACTCTGCTACAGAAAATAACACTTAGGAATAATCTAAATGCACATTTTAACACTGAGCTACTTGAAACATACCAGTAACATCTTGACTTCATGTAGGAGAGGTACTATTAGAATGGCCTGACCACCTCTCATGAAGAGACCTCGCAAGGCTCCATGTGCCAGAGCCAGGACTTGTTGGAAGCCCTCAAAGTAAAATACATCATTCCTGGTCTCTTTAAGGTTCATGTTTGAATACTTGGTTTTGAGCTTGTGGAGCTATCATGAAGGCTGTGGAGCCTCAGCTGGTGGAATCGGGTCTCTGGGGATGGGCCTTAAAGGTTATAGCCATCCTAGTTCTGGTCTGACTCTCTCTGCTTTCTGTCAGCCACCATGTGAACAAGTCACAGCCTCAGCTCTGGTTGCCTCATACTCTATACTATTCACAGACAGAACCATTCCTTCCCTGTCATGAAACTCCTCTAAAACCACAAGACAAAATAAAACCTTCATCCTTTAAGTTGTTTCGTCAAGTATTCGATCACAGCAGTGAAAAAGTTAAAAGAAAAAAATAAAAAGGAAACAAAAACCCTTTCTGAGAAGCATCAGGTCCAGTGGCTGGCCACAGGGGCTCTACTTTTAAGGAAAGCCCTGCTGAGGCCTGAAGCAATCCCTGACCCAGGGCTGGCCAGTACCAACCTGCTGGAGAAAGCTCTTTCTTCATCCTTTTTAACTTCTTGGCCTTTTTCCTTCCCTCTGGGAGGGAGTCTGCACAGGCATCTGTCTGCTCAAGCTCAGAATCTGAGATCTCCCCTGATGCTCTGTCCTCCAGGTCAGCTTTCTCTGGATCAGGGCTCAGACTTCTTTTTCCAGCTAAGCAGGTGAAGCTGAAACACACAGGTGGGAACACAGGAGAGGACTTAGGAACAGGAAGAGCAGTCTGTGAACATATTTCAATACCCTTAATTCTATTAACACTTCCATGGCAGTCAGCAGCAGAGGCAGCTGCTCCCCTGGAAATAGTAAAGGCCATTTCTGAACTGGGGTCTAAGCATTCACCTGGGAAGCTCAGAGCAAGCTCTGCATTATGCCTGTGCACACAATGCCTGTGCATATAATACAAACCAGGCTGTCCCTGGTGTTAACAGCAAGTTTTTACAGAAAATTCCTGGCTGCATTTCCATAAAGCTACAGTGACAGAGGAGTGTTAAGAGTAGAGCTATTAAACTAGAACTGCAGCGCCATGACATTAAAGGCAGCAACATCACCTCAGGACTGCTAAAGGACACAGGCAGGACAGGAGACTGGCCAACCCTCTGCTCTCACATGCTTGAAACTTGAAGAGTTACAAAGTATAGCCTGCCTCTGTGGAATTCTCTTCCAAAAAGTGACTTGTTAAGTTTATAATGAAACCTGGTTTGGTTTTTAAAGCTTTATAGGGTTTGGCATATTGAATTAAATCAGATTGTATATCTGATTTTTTTTCCTTAAGAAAATGCATTCCCTGAAATTCAATTTGATAAAAACCAGTCTACATGGCCAGTGAGTCCTGTCTCCTATAAACAGGTTTTGTAAATAAATTTTTTTTTATTAAGAAAAGCATTACATTGAAAAAAAAAAAGAAAAGAAAAACCCAAAGCATTCCATTTAAGGGACAGCTTCAAGCAGAAGAGAACAGGGTGAGGAGGAGGGAAGGAGAGCCGACCTCTCTCCTCTTAGCCTCCCTAGGAAGTGATGCCATTCACAGATGCTGCCCAGCTAGCTATTCATGTTCCTCTGCAGTACCGCTCTCCCATTATCTGACATTCCACAACTGCTATGGATAGTTCACCCGTGTGAAGAAGTGACTCCAGCACTTGGCCTCTGAAGGCTGGACTGTTACACAGAGCTTCCTTTTTTAAAAACAAAACAAAACAAAACTTTTTTGTTCTTTTTAGACAGTGTCTCACTCTTCAGTCCAGGCTGACCTGAACTCATGATCCTCCTGAGAGCTAAGATTATAAGCATGTGCCATCATGTTTAACCACATACAACATCTATCTTATTATGGTCTGTGAAGAAAAAGGAAGTTATCAATGGCAATATTTGTGTGTGTGGGGGGGGGGATGATTGCTAAAATTCAGGCTAGCGTTTACTGTTTTAAAACTGTTGTTAGTGAGATAGCTCAGCAGATAAGGGCACCAGCCACCAAGGCTAATGACCTGAGTTTGATCTCCCAGCCCCTCCTAGTGGAAGGAAGAAATCGAGTCTTACTAGTTGTCCTCTGACCTCCACATAAGCTCCATGGCAGAGATACGCCTCCCTCAACCCCTCGATAAAATTATGGTGGTACATAATATGATCCCAGTTCTCAGAAGGCTGAGGTAGGAAGATAAGAATTTAAGGCCAGTTTTGGCTACACTGTCTCAGAAAATAAACAGATAATATCTTCAAAAGGTGTTTTTTAATATTTTATTTATTTTTATTTTATGTGTATGCATATACTGCCTGCATGTAGGTAAGTGCAACCATGTCATACAATGCCTGCAGAGGACAGAAGAGGCTGTCGGGTCCCCTGGAACTGGAGTTATAGACAGTTGTTAGCTGCCATGTGGGTGCTGGGATTCGAACCCAGGTACTCTGCAAGAACAGCCAGTGTTCTTAACCACTGAGCCATCTCTCCAGCCCCCCAAAAAGTGTTTTTAACTTTTTAAAATAATTTATTGAGAATTTTACACATGCATATAAGGTGTTTTGATCAAATCCATACCCACTTCCTCCTCTCCAACTCCTCCCATATCGCCCCATCACTTTTTCTAATAACTTCATGTACTCTTTCTTCTTCTTTGATTGATTGATTGATTGATTTTTGGTCTCTTTGAGACAGGGTCTTCCTGTAGCCTCAGCTGTCCTGGAACTCACTATGTAGACCAGGCCGCCCTTGAACTCAGAGATCCGCCTGCCTCTGCCTCCCAAGTGCTGGGATTAAAGGTGTGCACAACCACACCTGGCTATTTATTTTTATGGGGCTTTTGACTACTCTAACATCACCCCTGCCCCTGAAGAGGTAACCCTAAAATCTTTTAAGGATTAGATACAAACTCCCAAATACTTTTAACATTTTTGGCCTTTGGAACAGAGTATGTTGCTAAGAGGCCCAAGGACATTTTGACTTTTAGCCAAGAAATTGGCTACTTTTCTTTGGGGTCTTTTTACCCTAACTGCCTAGCCAATTCTTACCTCCTATTCTTATCACACCATCCTCTAAAGAGGTTACCCAAATTGCCAATAGAGAATACAGACGAAGAACGCTCTGGTTTCTTCCATGCTGAACAGGGATGCAGGGTGAGGAAATTGGAGTACCCCTTTAGTAGGTCTATCTAAAAGACTCCCAAATTGCATAACTCTTATCTCTAGAAGGGAAAGGGAGTCCCTGAATCATGACTAGGAGATGTGAAGGAGAAGTAAAGGCAAGAGTAATTAGCATTACAAGATCTAGACAGGGAATTAGAAAAAAGTCAGAACATGACAATTTTCAAATGATCATATGAGAGTCCATTGGAATTTCTTGACAAGGGCTTCCAAAAGCATCCCTCTATTGGGTTCCTCCTCATTTTTCTTTTCTCTTCCAAGGCTGGACTCTAGAGTGATGGATTCAGGATTTGCTTTCAGGTATTTTGATAGCTGTTGGAGTGGTTAGAATCAGTGTCAGTTCCCTCTCAAAGGCTTCTAAATAGGGGGAGAAAACAAATTTATCCATCATTTTAGAACAATAACTGGTTGTCTCCCTTAGCTACAGGTGGGCACTACAGTATTGGAGACCAAGATCCCTCTTGAAGTCTTACATCAGAGCAGCACTTTCTGGTTAGAAACAAAATCATCAACGAGAAATAATTGTCTAAATAACATTTTATATGGACTTAAGCCTGATGTCTCGGAAGTGTAATCTCTTGAGCTCT